AGCCAATCAGATTCAAGGATTTAGGATTCCGGATCCCTGAGATTCAGAAGGTTCTTCATTAGGTTCTTAATTTCTATAAAGGAGATATAGTTGTTGATTACCAGAAAAACGTTTGGTCCTTGAATATACAGTATTAATTCACAATCCCAAAGTCACACTCCTTGGTTAAAATGGTGATCATATACAAACGTAATTTTAACATTAACCCACATATAAGAACCTGCTTGATCTTGCTTGGCTAAACAGGTTCATATATTTTTGGGTATTGAAATGGCAAATTCCTGCCAGCATGCAGTTTCTTAAACCCGACTAGGTTCTTCCTTGCTGCTTTTTACTGTATTTGGAAAGCGGTAGTCGTAAAGGTCGGTGAAATTTTTTCGTAGTGATCATATGGAAACCTGCCTAAACCTTCGCCGCGCTAGAGGCTGAGTTTTTGCCAGCTGCTACCTTTTTCCTTAGCTCGGCAATTTTTTAAGGATCGAAGCAATTGGACTTATGCTTTGTATATTCTTGGCTTTGTCATGGTACATGAAGTCATGTAACATTTGGTGTAGGCCATAATCTGGAGGCATTATCTTCGTGTTTGATGACCATCAGAGGAAGAACTGAATTTTCATTATGGCACAATCGGCCACCGAAAAGATGCAACCATTGAAAACAAAATCAAAATTAATAAGAACAAATACACGTACACAGCGGAGCCTCCGGGTAAACGAAATGAAACGAATATTTTTTAAGAAAAAGAGAAATTACTGATTTGTTTCTCAGAATAAGGAATCAACCATTTTGGAGGCCGTCAAATGAGATCATATTATAGTACATTTTAAGAAACTTTACTCTTGCTTCTTGCACGCACTGCACGCTTCAGTTGCACCTCAAACAAAGTTCAGATCGTACAAAGGACGATAGTTTGGTTCTTGAATCCTGTCAAGTTTGCTTTACATATGATCACTGCGACCATTATTCCATGATCGCTTAAGTATGATCGCAGTGACTTTGTTTTTTGACGTTAGTTTTCAGCTCGCAGAGCGGCTCATTTACACTATTTTTCTATTACCCATAAACTTCGTTTAAGTTTCGTGGCATACAGACAAGGCTTTTCCGAGAACTTTCCACGAAATAGCAAATAAATAATCTTTCCGGTTGACAGTAGGTGGCGTTAAGCGATACATCGCTGATTGGAAAAGTCAGGAGTTACAATTTCACTTGACTTGAACAGTGTCAA